TTGGATGTTTTCAATTTTGAGTAACATATAGCCATATAGACGTATAGTTAACGTGCACCGTTCTTCTTCTTTTGTGCTTTGGTTTTCGGCTGGCTATTTTCAAGCCTGTCCAATCTCTCATATAATTTTGTTAATGCTGCCATCACGTCAGATAGCGATAGTACATTTTTATATTGTTGTGTGTAAGTTTGAGTCAGTGGACCCTTTTGATTTTCGTTCGAAGAACTAGCCATCTGTGCAAAAGAAACTTCTCGAGTGACTGGTTTCGCAGGCTTTTGTAGTATTCTTTGTGCTGCTGTAGTTTTTTTGGGTGAGCTTTTTCTATTACATTTTTATATGTGATGCATCCTTTCCAATTTACGGTGTGTCCTTCACCACAGTTTCAAGGTCGCACCCAAGGGGGTGGGCTAACGGGCTTTAGCCCCCCCCCCCCCAAATGGCTAGCCCCAAAACATATTTTATTAGGTTTATTGACAATTGACATTTGACTTTAAATTATTATAAAAAAAAATATCAACTATCGAAATTTAAACATTAGGTAGGTATAATATAATATAATATTATATTTATACCTGTCATTCCGGGCCCCGGGAGAGACCTCTGTTGTTTATTATTATCGTCGCGACGTCGTTAGTTGAAACTGTGTACTGTATAGGATACCGGAAACGTCTAGATTATACATTTTTATCGATACAATTTAATTTATCTCAAACCGCAGGTATCTTTACGACAAATTCCACTTTCATAACTTATTCAGTAGATTAACTAGCATTGTCGTTCAACTGTTCAAGTCGACATCGTTGGTTTTTCGCGAGCTTATTTATTTATTTATTCGTTTTTAATTGTTAATTAACAAGCTTTAAGATTTCTGTACATATTTCAAAATAAATACTACCTATTAATATAACAATTTTTTGAATTTAGCTCCCCCCCCAAAAAAAAAATTCTGGGTTTATTTTACTTGCTATTTACCTAGGTGTTTGACTAAATAAATATAAAATTACGTAGTATTTTATATTATGTGTATAGACCATAGATAACAACGTATACTGTATAAGCATATCCTTATTTCCTATTATAAACTAAATTATCCTTAGCACAAAATGTGTAGGTAATAACAAGAAAACTACTCGTTAAAATTTTGATTTCAATACATCAAAATTCTCAAAAAAATAATCCGCCAAATATTTTACAGAGGTGCATTTCCCTGGCACCCCCACTTCCGAATTTTGGATTCAAACCAAGGGCTTTCGTTTGTGCTACGTTTGTGCTGGATTGTGCTCGAATTTCATCGTTTATGCTGCAAACCCTAATGAGATAGAACGGATCTTTAGTGGGGGTGCCACTTTAGTGCAGTGGGGTTGCAGCACAAACGATGAAATTCGAGCACAATCCAGCATAAACGTAGCACAAACAAAAGCCCTTGGTTTGAATTCAGAATTCGGAAATGGGGGTGCCAGCAGGGAAACGCACCTGTCTTTGAGTATATTTAAAGATCCAAAAATCAGATTTTGAAAAACTTTATTATTAAAGAAAAAAAGGGGGTGAGCATACTTGTTGGATAACTCTGTTTACTAATAACATTTTGTTTTATACTGCGATTAACCTATGTATAATTCTGTAAAATTATTTTTTTTTACTTCTCTCTTAACATTTTGACGATGATAATATTATACTCGATATAAAAAGCAAGAAATTCAAATGTCACCTGTGTATGGTTTAGCCCTGCGTAGTATGAACCTTTTATAATCTATAATATAACGTAATGATTTGCTTGACGTATATCGATCATTCGAAATATTTGTAAATTATTATGTTATGTTTCTAACTGCGAGTACCGAAATTTATATAATTTTAAATAATTTTATTATTTTGTTTGACCGTACCTACTTGTTCCAAATATTTTTTTATGCTATATAAAATAACTTTGAGTACATTTGACTTCATCCATTAGGTAACTGTTGTTCGATTATTATTTTTATTTTTATTTTATTGTCTTTTAAGTAGATAGGCATCTAGAATCTATAAACAGTAAAACTTGAAAAAAACACCTTCTAATAATATTATATTTATATTATCGGCAAAATATTATAGGAAACGTAGTATTTTCAATTTTCAATCCTTAGTTATACAAATTTAACATTTTCTACATTTTAAGTATATACTACTACACAATAAGAATAAATTGTTATAATTTGCATGTGTTTGTGAGAAAAAATGTAATCTGGGGATTTATTTTTCTGGGGTCGTGGATTTTTATTCAGCATTTCTAAATGTCGATTATTTTCAAAAGAAATCCAAAATAATTGTGAAACCGATCTAATTGTGTGAATTATTAATAAATGCATTTCTTTATAGAGGTTTGTATTAAAATATATTATATTTTTTCTTGTTCAATTTTGTCGGTTTTTTGCTCTTTTTTCATTTCCAGATAAACATTTCTAATACTTATCACTATCTCTTAATATATTATATTGTTGCCTTAAACTCTGTAAGTCTAATTTATAAAATACAAATTAATTATGAACCAGTTACTTATGGTAAAAAAAAACCAAAATCTGCTTGTTAAATACAGAGCTATCATATAAATAGGGATGTATTGTAGTTGCAGTAAAAATATTAAATTTATTACGATAAGGTACTTTATTTTATAAATAATTAGACATATCTTTTTGATTTTTGTGGTCATACAAATTTGATCTTGATAATTTGTCACTTGCAACTAGGTACTTATTGAAAAAATGTACGAATTGAAGATGTCTTGTTGTTGCTTCCAGGTATTCATTTGTTATTTGTTAATTGTTATGTACGCTATATCAAATACTATTCAGTTGTATTACCATAGTGTATTGCACATTGTTCAAGTATTTCGTACTTTGTATTTTATTACTTTGTAATTTGATTCAATCAATAATATAGTATGTAAATCATAGTATTTAAAGAAAACTCAGGATTTTTCAAGTACGAGGAGTTCTCGCCCCGGCCTTAAGATGGCCCAGGTACATTTATATATTGTTTTAAATCCCTAGTAACAAATTTTATAACGCCCATTTTTAATACCATATTTGTGTAAGGCTATACTATTCAAGTAGTTTTAACTTAAAAACTATGATTTTAAAATAAAAATTGACTAAAAAAGAATAATTTCAATTTAATTATAAATACATTAAATTATTTTTATTTATATTTTATTACCTAATAAATAAATAAATAAATAAATAAATAATAATTTCCTTGGAGTAAACATATTAATACATTAAGACAATAATCAATAATTCATATAATATGGTATAAATGACTGTCAATTTTCTAGTAACAAATATATGAAAACCATTAATGAAGCTATACAGTTGATAAAATAAAAATGAATAAAATATAGTAAAATAATACATTAAAATATAAAATACAAAACTAGGTATACAAATATTTCTAGTGGTAAACTATAAAAAAATTAGTAAATATATAAATAATGTTTATTTTAAACTTTAAATATGTTATACGTATATGCGTTATAGTATAATAAATTATGCCATGGCATTATTATCTTTAACAATATTTTTTTAATTCAGATAAATTAAACTTATCAACATTAAAATGTACAAATCAACTAAAAATGTCAAAATAATATTGTTTAATAAACACAAGCAATTGAATGTATAAAAAAATATGATTAGGTAACTATATAATATAAAATGTCATGGCATTTCAATACTTAAAATATCACAATGTTTTCATAATTTAAATTGAACATAAACATTTAAGGACGGTTGAATGATAATACAATGAATTATTACGATATAAAACAATTTTTAACTTTAATTATTCATATACTTTAACTGGAATAAGGTTGATCATGATATATAATGCAAAATATTAATATGCTAAAATATTATTTTTTGTTGTTAAAAATAGTTTAAAAAAAAATAAATGATTTACAAAAAATTAAACTAAATTTTTGTTTTAATGTAATATGATGTGCTACTTATTATTCATTTAAAATATGAATCTGATTAAAACTAATAGGATAATAAAATATTTTCTAATCAATACATTATCATTGTGTGTTTTAATAAAGATTTGTCAAGCTTCTTGCAGTTAATATAAATAATTTATTTATTGCAACTTTAAGTATTATTAAAGACTAATTAAAAAAATTAAAACATAGTTATTACATTTATCAATCTATGTAAGTATATTACATTTTTCAGAAAAATATTTTTTGTACATATAAATAATTTATACCTACTTTGTATAGTTTGTTATTAAAAATATAATCTTGCGTATATTATTGAGCACAATGTATTACAACATAATGACATATTTCAGGAAGGAGATTAAATTTGGTAAAATATACCTAACAGAAAACGATTACTTTTACATAACTAAAAAGAATGTTGCATATGTAAAAAAAAGTAGGAACACAACAATTGCTTAATCATATTAAAGTCCAATTTTATAAATATAAAAGAAAAATTCTAACAAATTGTGAAAAATTCAAAAACATCTTAATTTATTTTTTATTTTTAATGATGAACAGAAATTAATGTGTGTTCCAGGACTGAAGACACACAAAAAAACTTTTACAAACAGTTCTATCAGAAAATAGCTAATTAATTTGAGGTTATTTAAAGAGAAATAAAAAAAATAAAAATATTTATAGCATGACAGTACTTTTTTAATTTTTATAATTTATCATCCAACAACATTTTATTATTTTCAAGTATTTCATATTTTTGTATTGGAAGTCAGTGTATAAGTTTTTTTTTTTTTGTTGAAATAAAATTATAATTTTTATTTATTTATTAAAAGATAGATAAATGAGCAGTTAATATATTCTTACCAAAATATTCAACTTTATTAAATTAATTTAAATTAAAATGACAAATTATAATTTTTCAGTTAATGCATAATATATGTTATTATTTTAAAATAAATGTATTTAAAAAATAAATCTGTATGACATGAAATTACTTGACTAAAAAATAAAATTTTTTTTTTAAATTGAATTATGACTAAATGTAAATTATTGATCCAAAATATTTTATTGGATACAAATTTATAATTTAGATTTAGGTTCAAATAAATTTCTTTTATAGTTTTTATAAGCAATAACTAATAAGTCATTTTAATCTGTGTCACAACTTAATTTGATCGGGCATATAAGTAAAAACACAAGTTGGCTTTTACTTTCTCCATTGAGCAGTGAGTATTCACATAGACTTAAATAATTACACGTGCATAAAGCACCTGGTGTTTTCATCATTGGTTGAGATTAAACTTCAATATTCATGTCTGATCGCAGTCCACGGTTTTTAAGTTTTTCTTCTGCTTTTAGTATTGGTTCTTCAGTTCTTGTATGCCAAACATACACCTACATTTTTAAATGATTATGAATATACATATGAGCCTTGATAACTCACATTTGTGAAGTGTTTTTAAGTTGTGAAGTATATAACTTGAAAAATATATAACTCTAATTTATTTTAATTCCTATAGAAATTTGAGTTACCGAGATTCTACTGTAAGGTAATAAAAGTCCACAATAAAAAAAAATTTGTGCAAACTTACTTTTGAACAATTATCTGCCATAGGCTCCAATTGTTCTACTGTGGTTACCTGTGAAAGTATGGCACTTTCCTGGAAACCTCGACTGACATCCCACGAAAACGCAGCATTAGGATGATTATGTAAAAGCTTTAAATTAATTGCAAAACCTGCCATATCGACGGGAAATGGTCGTTCTGGTCTCCAAGCACTATTCCAACCAATTACTTTACCTTTACTATTTATCAATGGTTTTTCTACTAAAAGACCACCAACAAGACCAACTGGCCAAACACCAACACCTTTTACAGTTCGCATCTATGTAAATAACATTAAAGAAATAATAGTATAATAATATGATAACGTTAATACAGTTATAGCTAGAGACCAGATTTATATGCGCTTAAAATAATATAAGATGTTTCTATGTTCCATAATTTCATCAAAATAATCTTTTTTGTTGACGCCCATCCTCCACAAGCATACAGAATTATAGGTCTAAGAAGCACTTTATAAATTCTTAGTTTTGTATTTTTGGCCAGTAATCTTGACTTAAATAATGGTACAAGCCATAGGCGTGTCCAGACCTCATTCGCAGTTCATGCACAACAGTAGCAGAGGACTGGAAAACTACACCCCCTCACCCACCAATAAAATATTCTGTTAGGATATTGGAATGTGACCATCGAATTTAAAGATTTTAAATTTAGATCAAATTTCGCAAGTCATGCCTATGGTACAATCGCAAAATGGCACTTATTTCCTGCCATTATTCTTCTGTTAATTTCTTCGTGGCTATTTGCCTGTTGTCTTAAATAATAAAAATAATAAAACGTATTGTATATTGTTGAGTAACAGAATGATGTATTAAAACAATTCAAAAAATAACAAGTGGAGGGTAGAGGAGATTTTTGGCGTTTTAATTTGCCATGACACACCAAAACTTGACATCTTTTACAGTAGTTGTTAATACACCTAACAATAATTATTAATGAATTTGATCAGAAGTGTGAGACACACAGTCAGTGCTACGCACGTTGAATTCAGGAACTACCACCGTTCTCCGTCTATGAGTATGAGATAAGAGATGTAGAGAACCTAAGAGAATAATTGATTTTCTCATCAATATTACTTTGAGTCATTTTGTTATAATAAATATGATATTATAATGAAAATATTTTTGAATTTTTTTTATGAATCTTTAAACTTTTAATAAAGTTTTCCAAATTTAATCCTAATATGGCAATATATTCCTATAACATGTTTTTGAACAGAATATTCTTTAACCTTGAAATATTCATTTTTATGGGCTAAACAGTTTGTATATCAGTTCATAAGTAAATGAATCATCAAGAATGCTTATCCAATTGGAGTTGCATATTCTCAGTAAAAACATTTAAAAACATGAAAACCTGGTCTCTCGTTATAGCATAGTAATATTTACTTCATTAAATAAATCAACACTATATGTGTTATCATCATCAGCAAAAAAAATTATCCCTTCATCTTTTTTATTAGCTCTGTTACTTCTTAACCATTGTAATGCTTTGTTCCTTTGTTTAACTCCTCTAGGTTTCTTCCATTTAGGTTCCTAAAATATACATATGATTTCTTAAATTTCAATAAATTAAATTAAAATACCAGATATTTTAAATTGTATACTTTTAATTTTCTCTTCCATTCAGCTGGTGTTCCTATGGCTAAGTGTGTATAATTTAAATTACTTTTATAAAGTAAATTGGCTACAAGTGAAGTTTTCATTTCAGAATCTTCAACAATAATCCAATGGAAATTATTTACAAGACGAAAAGTGTTAGACAGTCTACAAAATAAATAACAATTTTGAGAACATTAAAAATTCAAAATGTTGATGTAAACTTTAAATTTATTAAGTTTACCTTGTAAGTTCTGCTTTTTGTACAGGTCGTTTGTAGGTAGGCGTGATGGCATATATAACTGGAATGTTTGGTTGCCATTTATCACATATACTTTCAAATCTTTCTTTTAAAATATTGTAATTTATAGATTTGATTTTTAACTGAAAAAAATTATACACCATAGAAAATTAACATAAGATACAAAAATTACACAACATTTGTAATTTATCATATTACATAAATATGTTAACACTTTATGGCTATTAGTTACCAAGAAAACCACAAGTAAAAACAATTAGACATTATCCATTGTGAATTTTAAAAAAACTAATAAAAACATTCACACACTATTAACAAAATTAATACTTTTAAACAATGTTACTTAACCCATAAATTACAATTTTGACTAAAATAATATGTTAGTATGTTATTACTTTTGAGCCATTTAGTACAACTTTAGTAAAAGAACATTTTATGTTAATAACAATATAGAATATAATTTACAAACATATAACAACTGTAAGTAATTTTACAAGTTATTAGTAGACATTTTTAAACTTTTAATTGATAGTTTTAGTCTCTAGGATATTTTTTGCAGATTCAGAACAGTCGTATAGTTGGTAAACATATTTTTAAATGTTTAGAGTAGCAGCGTAGTAAACTTAAGTAGGTAATAGCGTGGACATACAACATAAATTATAATTTTCATAATAGATGGATAGGTTATTATTTGTATTTATAGTATTATAAGAGTATGTATAATAAGTTTATACAGTAATATAAAGAAATATAAATATAAAATAAAAATGTTTCAAAACCTGTTAATAGTGATAAAAATTTCAACTAAATGATATGTATTTAAATTCATATAATATTAATAATTATATTCAATTGAAAAGTTAGGTGGTGAATATTGAAGAGTACTCGCTAGTCACCGATAAATGTTTTTTTATAAATCTAATAAGCATACTACTTTCAAATGTAAAGGTGTTCATACTTCTTCTTTTGTTTGTTCCAATGTTTGTTTTAAAATTTGATACCGTGATGCATCTAATAATAACAAAATATTTAAAATCAATCTATTCATTTAGTTAAAATTTTTTTTCAGTAAATGAAAACCAAACATTATTTACCTCTACTTCGAACTCCGATGAACCAAAAAATAAGTAAAGTGAAAAATCCAAAATAAAATATTGTTCTTCTTTTATTAAACATGTCCAAGAACTTATAGTTAGAATTATAATTACTCATTTTATTTGACTCGTAACATTTGAATATCTATGATTATTGACTATCTACCAATTCATAATAAGCAGTTGATAAAAACTACAAATCTTTCACTTTATGTCATGGTCAACAAACAAGTATACTTAGTATTTATTAGCAATACCGATTTTAATATTTGCTTAATTATTTAATTAATAATATTGTTTAACTAAAAGATTCTAATGATCTAATAAAAATATTAAGTACTTAACACAATAATATAGTATTTACTAGCTATTTAATATTTATGGTCAGTCTTAAGTTCAGCGGAATTCTCGGAAATTAAAAGAACCTTCATATTTTGCCTTTTGGTTAGCGCCTAGTGGTTTTCTGGTTTTGTACAAAATACCACTGTCTTGTTGTTGTGATTATACGACTTGTTATAGTCCACGATTAAGATAGTACTATCTTAAATCGTGTTAAAGTCCCATACAGTGATAATATTCTTCGTTCGTTATATTCTGTGGTTCATTGTACTCAGCGAGACAGTGTGTAATTATAACAAAAACGTCAAGATAAACCTGCTGTTTTTCTATATTATCATGATTGACTGTATTTACCATGGTTTTACAGTTGTACATTACTCAATACTCATCAGTGATTACTGATTAGTGACTAGTCACTAGTGGATTTTGTTGCGGTGAGGATTCAATTTGTTCATTGTCGATCAATTCGTATTTTGTAGACGTTTGTGCCTACTTCATAGACCACACTGACATAGTGACTACTGACTAGTAACTGTAGTGAGAAGTCCACCAAATATATGAGTGATTGCTGGCCTCAGATTTGGGTGAGTGTAATAATTATTTATTGATGTTTTAGCGTATTAGTGGTTTATTTTGTTATATTCCTCAAACATTTACAATTTCTATGTAATATACTTTACAGTAGCAATCTGGATGTCAATTGTCATTTGATTATTCACTCAAAGTTTATTGTATTCGTCTTGTACTATTTGTACTTCTTAATGTTATAATAATTAGTTTTGATTAAAGAGTTTGGGAAGGATAATCTACAACTCTTATTTTTATTTTCCTTTACAATATAGGCGTAAGAAAACCTTTAACTTTTAAGTATCACACATCTGCACCTAGATATCTAGGTGTGCATTTAAAATGTTCATATTTACAAAACTATGTGTGTTTTTTAAAAATAATTTTCTTTTTTAAATTTGTACAGTGTGCACGTCATGTAGCACCAGCCTAAAAAATATATAGGTAGTTCAATAAAATAATTATTTATTGCAAAAATACATCATTATAGACCATCATCTGTTTCATCTGAGTTTATTAAATGATTATCACCATAGATGCTGCATCTTATCACTCTTGTTAGTTATGGGTACATACAATTAGTAGGTCCTGTATTTATAAAATACATTTTAGACACTAGTCAATGTTTACTTTAAATTGTGGTATCCTGATTTTGTTATAATATTTGTTATCTATATTCTTTGTGTGGAATTGTGAATTGATAAAAAAAGAAATAGGATAATAAACTATAAGTTACTTCATTTTTAAATAACTTGTTAACTTTTAAAAGTAACTATCTACATTTATTTAAGTGCCATTTTGATACTAAATTTTTCATTGTATAAAATGTTTTAATAACATCTAACACAAGCTGTATGGACATTTTCAGGTAAAACTATTATTCCAAAAGGTTTTTTTTTTATAATATTCACATGAATGTGGTCTTATACTGTTGTAAAATCTTTTATGTAACAATTTACTTGATAAAAAAACGGTTTTAAAAATAAAGCTGTACAATCAGATTTTGTTAGATAGGTATCTACCATTTTTGTGAAGTTAGCAGGAAAGATAAAGTTAGATTTTATATTAATCTATACATTGGTGATGTCTGATGACTTAGGGCTGTTCGAAGGTTTTCGGGATCAGGGACAAATTAATATGGGGGCCCTTCGACCATCATAATACGGAATAATAAACAATTTATTCACTGAGATTAACAAAATTTTTGCAAATGCATTTTTTCAAACCTTAACCAACTATAAGGTCATTTAAATGTATGTACTCAAATGTTTTTTCAATAACTTCTTAGCAATGTTTTACCAAATATACTAAAATATACAATCCATCAGTGGATAATTATTAATGTTCGTGGTTTTCGTCTTATAATATTATCTGCACCGTAAATCAAGCCATAATATACTATTACATCATAGGAATATTACATTTTTTAGGCTGATGCAACAAAAATAATTTTTTTTATGTATAGTAAATCATATAAATGATGTTTCTTTAACATTTTATACTTAGCTCCATGGGCAAGAAGGTATTTTTTTTTACAGGAATTTATTAATTAGGGCCACATATACCTAGCGCCTATATCTTGTAAATAAAAAAAAAATTAACTTCTTTTGAGTTTTATCGTTGGCATATTTACAAATCTGGATCCATTCCTTTTCATTTTGAAGAACAACTTTCGAAATTTTGTTTAGACATTATTATTAATTATCATATATTATTTTAATAAATTAGTACACAATTAGCGAAATTCCACTGTCACAATAGCCAATAGAAAAAGTATAATAAAAATAATAACACCTGATAACATTTTAAATAATACCATAGGGCATTGAGTGAGAAATAAGAATAGAATGATATTATATTGTACTCGCTTACTTTATAGTTAATACTGTTTATTAATGTTGATGTAATAGAAAATGATATTTTAGACATTCATATTATTACAAATTGCTTAAAAATAGAACAAATCAAATTTATTACTATATAAAGTTATGTATATAAACATGAATAGTAGATACTTTATACTTAGCTCTCACTAATCAAAAATTAATTATTATTATAGTTGTTTATTTTTGTTATTCAAATATCGATTATATTTATTTATATTTACATTTTATACATTGTTTAGTTTTAGCACAATGGTACATACAACAAAATAGATATGTATTTATACGGGTATCGACGAGTTTATACTGAAGCCAGGCCCTAATGGAGTATACAAATATTACAAATACGTATTAATTCTGTACAGCCTCTATGGCATCAGTCAGTTTTGTGATATTTACTTTTATATTATTATTTTTTTTGGGGATTGGAGCCTCTAAGAGGCCTACCGGGAGAATTCCGATTTCCCGATGTCCTATCCATATCTCATCCCGACGAGCTCTATAGTTCCGTCCAACAGTCAGGTACCACAAACAAATTATTGGTGAAACTAAATTTACTCCGTGAATTATAGTGAAAAGTATCTACTATTGATCATAGGTAAACAAAATTACTGTCAGATTGTCCATTAATTTTTCAAATGAACAATTAATGTTAAACTATTTCAAAAATAAAAGTTTTTTACCGCAGTCTAATAATTGCCATAAGTATGGCGCGATGCGAAAAACTTTAAGTATAAAATGTTTACTTTAGTTGATTTTGAACGCTATATCGTACCACATAGTCTCTGTAGAAAGAATACAAAATCATAAACTTTTAACTCTTAATATATATTAAAAAGAAGCTTACAATTAATACAATTATTTATAACTAATTCGGTTCTTGGATTTATTTTTTTAAAACTATATTCAACACAAATGTACTTTGATTAGACTACATTTTTTTCACACGTTTTCAATTAATGACAGTCAGCAAGGCTTTTTTCTTTTTAATGAGATTTTGATATGAGTAATATAATATCTTGGAAATTATTATGAATATGCAATAAACATGACATATATATTGGTTAAGTTCACACTAAACTTGAAGGCCAGATTGGAATATAAAATTGAGTGTATGCATAAATATAATGACGTTATTAGTAGAGAGTGTTGATGACGTAAAAGTTTATACCAAGAGTGGAAAAGTAAAACTTTACAGAGTTCTTTGGAGAGAGAGAGAGGAAAATGTATGAGTAGATGTTGGAAGTCACAGTAATCTTCACTACAGTTGAGAAGAGGACATATGGACTACTGTTAAACCCTATATTAAATGAGTAGTGTGGTAGTAGACTGCGACCAGTGTGTAATCTGGTGGATTTAATTATGACAGTGTGACACTGTGACTAACCTTTAGGGATTAAAACCACGGTTGAATAGGGATACTTTAAGGTAATGATCTATAGCCAAACACATAAGACTGGTAGGTTATCCCATTGACAGCAAAGTTTGTTATATAAAGAAACATAATGATTAAAAATGGCAATTTTTTCAAAATGATTAATTTTAATATTTAAACAAAACTAGAAAATATCAACTACAATTATCTCTAATTTTCATTTTAAAATTGTATGTATGAATTGAACTCTATAAAATAACGTCTGATTAATTTTGCAGTTTTTTTTTCCATGGTACTTACACATCTAAAACAGATATAATTAACAATATATATTAGTCTTAAATTACCATATAGCTGTAATAAATATATTATAAGTGGAAAAAATAATTAGTCAAGTAGAATTATATTTTAGGTATAATAAAATGTGTTAAGATAGAGTATAAATGAATTCTGTAAAATAAAATTTACAATAGGTGCAGATAGAAATGTAAAATGATGGTAATTACTAATCATCAGGGTTTGGAAGTAATTGAAAAGATATATTTTATTGCTTTAATAATATGCTCTTAAAAATGTCAAAATATGTGATATATGCCTATATTATAATGTAACACTAAATATTGGGAAATATGCTAAAGAAAATTTTAAAAAATATTTACAATTTTTAATAATTGTACTCTATAAAATACTTTTTTAATCATAATTTGATGACTTTTATTAAAATAATAAATTACTTTAACATACAGGCTTTCCGATAAATTTTTGATGAGTAAATACAGACAAATTCAACAAAATGAGTGAGTTTGATTCCATTCATGTATGAAAATATACCTAAAAAAATAACCACTGAAATTTGAATAGTATAAAACACCTTAAGTAAGCCAAAATCTCAAAAACAATTATGTATACATTAAGAAAGTGAGAAAAAAATTTGTATTTTACTTTGGATATCCTAAGACTTACCAAAATAAAAAAAATTTGCATTTGCTAGCACTTCCAATCCCTACTTATCATCTTGTAGACCCATATACTTCAAATAAGAAAATATTATATAGTTAATTTTATTTTTTTAACATTATTCATCGACTAAGTTTCATCAAAATTAAAATATTCTGTTTGAATCCCTATACTCTGACTTGTAGTATCATAAGAGAAACCCGGTAACTTCTTTACATTGGGGTTGGCTAAACATTCAGACAGTTCCTCTTTGTGCCAGGGTTATAGTTCAGTTGGTACACAATTTTACAACAATAGGTATATGTTTAGGGAGTAGCCCAAATAGAGCTTAGATGTCTTGCTTAGTGTTGGATACAGTTTTCTAACAACAACCATACTAAATTGATGATTTGATGCTCATACATATTTTTTGTTAGTAAAAATAAACATTAATCATACAAATTGTAATGTCAAAGATTTTTCTTTTAATTCAATAGCAAATTAAATTAATTACACGTAAATTTCCATACACAAAGAGAAATATTAAATATCTAATACTTAACAGCATAGCTTATATTATATAACTAATCATAAATTAATTATTTTTGTCATATAAAATTTATTAAAGTACTTATTCGATTGAAAAATATATTCAGTAGGTGACCTAAATCGAAGTACAGAAATTATACTCTGTAGTATATCCATAAATAAATATTTAATCTCGAAGCATTGGCAATATTTCATGTAAAACACATGTAGATTTGGTATCAAAATTAACAATTGGCTCTTGGCATTGGTTATCACTTTGAAGAACATTGCAAGCTCTGAATAAAATTTGCTTTGGATCCTTGAGGATATGTTTCTTGCAATACTTACTTTTTGGTATCATTTTTCCTGTGCATTTTATACCCATTTCTACATATGTACAGTGTGGAAGATGTGATTTTCCCTTATTGTTTAGTAACGAAGTTGCTCTTATTTTTCTATCCATTGCTGTCTTAAATACTACTGCCTCTTGTCCTATCGTCATTTTTTGGTAGTGTTGCAAAAGTTTTAGCTTACGGAATTTTGCGTACTCTTCATCATTGGTCCATTTTGATTTATTTAGTTGTCCATATGATTCAGAATCACACTTTTTATTTATTAAGTATTCACGACGTTTTACTCGATACTTAAATAATAAATATCTATGAAAAAAAATAAAAAAGATGAATATTAAATTAGGTTGGTATTTTGTGTAAAATTAAATGTTTAATATTACCTGTATTCTTGTGCATATAACAATTGTAGTCGTATAAATTTATTCCTCACTCTACGCACAGCTTCTTTTTCAGAAAGTTTTGGCATATTGCACAAAGGGTCTGATTTGGTCAAATCTATATCCTCTAGCAATGGAATTTGTTTGAATAATTCCACAGTGACAGTTTTAGTCGGTTCTTCGTCTTCCAGTGGTTTGGAATCATCTAAGTTTTGTTTGTATCTTTCTTTGAGAAGTTTTTTTGAGTCTATTTCATTGAACGGGTTTAAACTCTTATACTTGGTAGCATAATGACCGAATTCTTTTTTCAAATCAATTTGTTTCTTTCCTTCCATTTTGCCAATGTATAGTTTAATAACGATGCAACTATACAAGAGTTATTTAACGCTGTTACATATTTTATTACGCTTTATGAGCGAATTACGAATTAAAAATTATGATTAGTGATTACTGATTGGTGATTACTTTCAAATACTCTAGTTTAATATTTTTCGTCTGAGACAGTCTGTTGTACTGTTGTCTGCTGTGGACACTAGGAACACTCACATAACCTCAATGTTGTGTTGTGGTAAGTACCCTGGTATCCATGGTACGATGTGGTATGCCTTTGGTTTGTCACCAATCACGCATGCGCACACTCATATGATTTAACAGCTGTTGAATCAATCTTGTTTTTCCATTGTCTTTTCATGACGTTGGTCCGTTTTGGGCAGTGGAGTATTGTATTTTCCTACTTCCATGGACGCGAGCTTCGTTTGCCTTTAGCGAGACGTAGAATCGAATCATGGCAGATCTTGTTAGACGAATTTGGATTAAGTGTTCTATAAGAAACCATGGACACAGCTTATTGTAACAAATCGTTGTATACAAATATTCCCAATACTATTCGCTTCCGGTTTTGTGGTGAGTGCCAATGGAAGGGAGAGGTGTTGGGTTTGTAGCGTCGATCAGAATTTAGAGTACCTACTTGGGACTTACATCTAATGAGCATTTATCGTGTTATTAATTATATTGTTTTGATAAAATATTTTGTGCTGTTGATTTTTGTTTACATTTTGAAGATTTTCACTCTGGGGTTATGATTATTTTCATTGAAGTACCCTAATTAAAAATATTACTGATTATAATTATTGCAGGGAATTGTGATTTGATTGTGGCATGATTAAATTGCTTGGAGGTGACGTCTATGGCCGAACAAGCTAGTTCCGCGTTGGGTAACGCGTCTTCTATTAGTACCAGGTTAGATATAAAATAAAGTTTTATTGCTACAAATATTTTTTTTATTTGTAACTACATAGTTGGGTAATACATTAAAATTATGATTATAGGAGGGGAAATATAGAAGGAAATACTAGATCTAGAGTCGGTTCTCACAAAGATAGTAAAAAAAGCACAAATAATCAAGTGGATGTGGCTATATTAAATTCAGATAACACTGAAACAACGTGAGTATTAAAAAAAAATTTTTGTGTGGTACCTGTTAAATTAATACTATTAATTATTATCATAAATTATGTATAAATGTAACTGTTTTAGAATTGTGAATGAATCATCTGTATCTATTCCAAGGAGTCGTAAAAGTAAATCGAGTACTAGGAATACCCGCACCAGTAATTCTAATACGCTAATAGTAAGTTCATCGATGTTGTATCATAGCAATATTAATTTAGGTTCTAAGCAATGTTATACAATTTAAAGTAGCAACATTAATACCTACTATGTAGAATTTAAATGAAAATCTTTAAACAGTTAGCTTTTAAAATATATATAATTATATATTGTATGTAACTTTATATGGTTACAATTTTTAGTAGTTTGTAAGTATTATAATTGTATGTATTAAATGTTTAATTATAGGTAAATATGTTATTTCATAAAGATTCAATTTTAATGTTCTTTTCTTTTTCTTATTTTACAGCAAAAAGAACTACCAAGTACAAGTAGAAAATCAGCAATATCCAAATCGCCCAAAAATAGTAAGCATATTAATTTTTAATATATGTATTTTAAGAAAACTTAAAATATATTAGCATATACATTGGTTTTTTAAGTAAATACAATTATAAGGAATGATTTGAAATCTTTTTTTTTTGCATTAATCATTGATTCAAATTTAATACTTCCATTATTGTGATTTCATTGAAAAGGTGCACTAAACACCTACTTTAAATTGTGGTGTGACTTTAAATGTTTTTGTACTTTTACCTTAAATTAATTTTTATAATATTTTAAATTTAAATGTATTTACTTCTGTGTAAGAACTTTTTATTGTTTACTTAAAATATTTATAAATTTGAATCTTATATTTTGCGTACATTGTATTTGAATATGTTTGATATCATTATATATATATATATATATATATATAGTTATGTAATATATGAATATATAATATCTTCAGTGTTCACACTAAGAGGTGCTCTTAAGTATATTTTTCAAATTCTGATCGATTTTTCTTTTTCTAATCTTATGTAAGTTGAAATTTAAGATAAAAAAATGTGATAATTATTTTGTTTATTATCTTCTTTGTTTTTGTAATTAACTTAAAATTTTACTTGTACAATTAGAAAAAATAATTTAAGGTAATGAAAATTACAAAAATTTTAATTCAGATTTAGTTATTCAATAAACATTAGTTTAATTTATTTCTTCTTCGTATTAAAATGAAAATTTAACAGTATTTGTAAATTTTGTAGTTAAAAAATAACATAACATAATTTGTTTATCCAAACCTAGAGAAAATTTGTTGTTGCCATTAAAAAAAATTGTGTATTTGTACTGCAAGAGTTAATCATAATTTTTTCTCAAAATGTGTATTTTGGTACATTCTTTCACTTCCCAAATGCCCCATTTTAATCCAAGGTTAACCAGATGAAATATTATGAGTTACTTCTTAGCGAAACACTATTTGTTTTTAGTAATTCATTCAATAATTTTTTTTTTCAGGAAAACAAAAAGTCAATAACTCCACTTTCAGCCCTGCTGAAAATAGATATCCATTGCGTAGTAAATCAAAAGGATCATCACGCTCTGAAGAAAATAACATAACTAACGAACTTTCTACCCACGAAACAGAACCTTCTCCTAATAAACGTCCAAAATTAGAACTCCCTACGCTGGGTATAGTTAATTAAATTTTTTGAATGTTGTGTCAAAACTTAAATTTTATAATTTAAATAATTATAGGTACGTCTTCAAGTCAAAGTAAGAATAGGGAGGAAACTAATTTACGCGCGTCTTTACCGCTGCGTAGGAAACGAGGAAGACCAACAACGGGGTCTTGTGCTAGTAGCAGGTATTTAAACAGCTTACTATTTTCATTAATTTATAGTTTATGAATTTTATATTTTAAAATGTTTTGTAATCTTATTATTTTTCGCAATAATTATTAATATAGTCGCCGCGGTAATACCAAAGCGAGTGGTAGAGAGGCTGCAGAATTGGCTATGGAAGGTGTGGTTGAAGGGGATGGGATGGCTGAGGGCAATGACAACATGAATAATATACTACCTTCCACATCTAGCTCAATTAGCACTAATGCCCCCGATATGGCTACATCTTCTTCTACCACTTCCAATACAAATCCTTCTTCATCTGGCACACAAGCTACTGGAGGTGGTGTGAACTGTAATTGTTACAATTCAATTTATTATGCACCTTAATACATGATCCATTACAATTTATATTATAATTATTTAAGGGCCTACAGCATGGAGTAGTGGAACTACTAGTCATGATAGTGAAGAGGAAGGTGAAGTTGGACGTTTACAAGCATTATTAGAATCTAGAGGATTACCACCCCATTTATTTGGTGCATTAGCCCCTCGTATGCACCATTTGTTCAATCGTTCAATGGGTGCTGCATCTACAAGTATGAATTTATTATAAAATATTTAATTTTGGTACTTTTTTTATTGTATTTTACTTAATTTAATGTTATTATATCATTTTTTTTTTTTGTAGCCTCTAAAGCTCAACAATTATTGCAAGGAATGCAAGCCACTGGAGATGAAGGACAGCAACTTCAAGCCGTTATTGAAATGTGCCAAATGTTGGTTATGGGCAATGAAGATACTTTAACTGGATTTCCTGTGAAACCTGTAGTCTCTGCACTTATAATTTTACTTTCGATGGAACACAATTTTGACATGGTATGTGTATAAATCTAAAGCTTATTTATACTATTAAAATATTTTTAATTTTTGATCAACTCTTAAAATTAAATGTAAGATTTATGAAAATAAAACTATGTTTTTAGTAGAATTTGTAGTTAATCATGAGCATAATTTATTATAAAAAGTATTCAGAACATTATTAACTGTTGCTTTATTATATTAAAAAATGTGATATAAAAATACTTTGGTAATTATGTTGAAGAATATTTTAGATATAAACATTTATAGATGATAAATAGACTTATTTTGAAATGTGTTAATGTTAGCATTTTGTTATGTTATTCGTGATAAATAATCAAAATCGCATATATTTTTTCTTGTTTTTATTACATAACGATATTTTTAGATGAATCATGCTTGTCGTGCTTTGACTTATATGATGGAAGCACTTCCTCGTTCGTCAGCTGCTGTTCTTGATGCTGTTCCAGCAATGCTAGATAAACTGCAAGCAATACAATGTATGGATGTGGCTGAACAATCCCTTTCTGCTTTAGAAATGCTTTCGAGAAGACATGGTCGATCTATATTACAATCTGTAAGTACATATTTATATTTTTCACAACATAACTATCATGATAATTGTATAAATTTATGATTGTTAAACTTAAATGTTGGAATCTAATTTATTTGTTTTTAGAATGGCGTGGCTGCATGTTTAACTTTTATAGATTTCTTTAGTATTAATGCACAAAGAGCAGCTCTAGCTATCACTGCAAATTGTTGTCAAAACATGAATGCTGATGAATTCCACTATGTTTCTAAGTCATTACCATTACTGTCAAGTCGTATTACTCAACAGGTATACACTATTTCTTAAAAATATTAAAATTAATATTGTAATTTTTACCTACTATCTATTGGTAGGATGATCTCGTTATTAAAATAAATAATACCAAATTATTTATTATCATGGATTGTTTGAAAATCCAACTTAAAATTATTTTCGTCAAACTAGTCTTAATGATCACAGAAGTTATATTTTTGAATTAACTTGATTTTTATTTTTCCTCAGAAGTTATTTTTAAATAATGTAAACAATATTTTGGTATAAATATTGAGGTTTAATTTTAGGCTTTCGGCCATTTAAGTATTTTTGTTTTTACTTAAGTTTAGTTTGATGATATAAATCAATCTTTGACCCATCATTAATATTAATGTTGTATTTTTAATATTAGGACAAGAAAAGCGTAGAAAGTGTTTGTTTGGCATTTAGTCGTCTGGTTGAGAACTTCCAATCTGATCCTAACAAATTAAAAGAAATTGCAAGTGATGAACTGTTAACTAATCTTCAGCAATTGGTAATATATTTAATTTGGTTAGGTTATTAAATATTAATCACCTTATTACTCTATTTAGGTTGTTGCATCTCCTCCCGTTATGAGTACAAATACATTTATTATGGTATTGAGAATGATGTCAACATTATGTACCAACTGTCCAGAATTGTCACAAACTTTACTGAAAAATAATATTGCTGAAACTCTTGGCTACCTTCTTACTGGATCTCCTTCTCCAGAACTTACACAGGTAAAAATAAATAAATAAATTAGGAAGAAATAGAAATATGAACCTTATAAAAATTATTTTAGATTGAATTGCTTCCAAGAAGTTCCCAAGAATTATATGAAGTTACATGTCTTATTGGTGAACTCATGCCGAGGTTGCCTGCTGATGGATTATTTTCAGTTGATAGTCTTCTTGATCGTCATGGTATTTACGGTGCAATTCAAGGATCTGGATCTTCTCAACAAATGGTACAGTGGCAATGGAGGGATGATAGATCTATGTGGCATTCTTATACATCATTAGATTCAAGAATAATCGAGGTATAGGTCACAATTTATATTTTCACTAATTAATAACATCGTAAATAGTGGATTTTGGTCTTTGATTTTTGGTCAGTAGTATACAAATATTTTTTTTATAGTGGGCTTTCAAAAATTGAACATACAAAAATCAATATTTCATAAATATTATGTTTATTACCCAGATCAGGTTAAAATTAGTAAATTTCTTAATAATTCTTAGTAAATTTCTGTGATCAACATGTTAGCCATACAATGTAAAATAATATAATATATATATCAACCGTGTTTAGAGGTGCTTGGGATTTATCAGAGTTAATATGGGATTAGAAACTATTTTGATATATTAATAATACAAATTTTTTCCTTGATGTACCTTAGCCTGACTAGTACCAATTTTTGATTTTAAATATATATATATTTTCAACAAATAACATAGATTTATCAAAACAACTGATGGTCACAATAGTAGAATTGCCCATATTGTGTTATTTGCTATCATAAGAACAGCAACTAATGTTAGGTTTTTATTCCTATTTTAGGTTGCGCATCAAGCTGGTGAAGATGAAGTTCTCTTAAGTCATGCTCCTTACACAATTGATCTCCATTCTATGAGACAAATCAATGAAGATACTGGCACCACACGAGCAATTCAACGCAAAGTCTTAACAGTACCATCATCTTTCAATAACAACCTTCAAACAAGATCAACCTCTGATATAGAAACAGTAGTTGCATCATTTGGGTAATGTGTTTTTTACTATAACTAAAATGAATGCATATTTTTGTATATAATAATATAAGAAATTAAAAATCAGTCTTTTCTTATGATTTATTTTGCTTAACGACCACGAAAGGAAAAAAACAACTAATTCTTAAAAAAAAATTCGTGATTAAAGAAAAACAGAAGTCCAAACTAAACTTGTCTACGACTTTTCGTTAGCAAGTTATAGTCATTTAAAGTTTGTGCGTGACGTCATAGAATCTAATCTCGCTGCGGCTACAGTATGGCTCCACGCACGTACGTACATCGCGCGTCGTACATATTATTTTGCATAATATTATTACATATTATTTTGGGTTTGATATTTTTGTGTACAAAAATAATTACGTGCTACATAATATGTATTTTATTTTTAGTTCTTACTAATAAAACGGGTTTTTGTCGTTTTCTTCTAGGACTGGATTAGTATTTATTATTTTAGTATTGCTCTGTGTTTCTTTGAGTGTACTTAAACATAAATTACGATTGTAGTTAACTTACCAATATGACCTCACCATATCAAATTGAACCAACGAAATTAGATTTCTGCGATGACTATGATTGTTTTAATTCTAACCATAATAAATTTAGCCAATGCTTTGGTAGATCATTGCTTCAAATAAATAATTGGCGTGATTGTCAAAAATGCACAATATTACCAACGGATCACGAGTGCATATAGACTGTTGAACAGTATCATATTTTGTGACTATGCCTCTATAATTATTGTTATAGTTAATAATGTAATATTATAATATATATTAGTATAACATAAAGTTAAATAGCACACACTTGTTCCAAACCTTACAGTAACCCAACAGTCCCAAAAACCCCTGGCTAATAACCAAGTAGTTGATGCCATAAACAATTAATAAAAAAAAAAAAATTATGAACGATAAAAATATCTCTAAGACCAAACCCGGTATATTGAATATTACATTCATAATAATGGGTAAATAAAGTTGAAGACGTAATATTTACATGTATAAACGCCAGGAGAATAGATTCTATGACGTCACACGTCAGCTTCAAATGCCTGTATATCGCCAACAAAAAGTCGTAAACATTTTTAGTTTGGACCATTATTTTTTTTAACACGAAGTACTATGTTTTTTGAGTATAAAATAAATTAAAATTTTTCCTTTAATGGTCCTTTAGCAATTTTATATTTCTCATCTTGTTTCTAAAATGTATTAGATGTTAAATTACATTTACACATCATAGGGTTGTGCATGCACTGAGAATTGAACTTTCAGATGTAAAATAATTCTATCTATTTTTTCTAGTAAAACCCACTTTCCCATTTTCTGTTTATTAATGTTGTTAAATGTTTTTAGTGAAAATGAACTGGCTGGAGCATTTGTACGTTTATTATTTAGTATATTATATGAAGTTTATAACAGTTCAGCTGGTCCATTGGTCAGATATAAATGTCTACGTGCATTGTTGCGCATGGTTTACTACTCTCCAGCAGAATTGCTTTTGGTAATTAAAATATGATTATTATTATTATTTTTTATTATTATTAAAGGTGATATAATTAATATTTTTACAAATTAAGGGAAAGTGCATAAATGTAGAAATCATAATATATTCCATACTAATTGAATGTAATTAATATATGTCATTTGTATACACTCATAAATCTATTGATATTTTATACTTAGTATCAAAACAATATGATAAATGATAATACAGATTAATATATTTAGAGTTTTGTTGACTGTTAATATTAATGGGTTGGAATGGACAAATTGTTAGTTGTTGACAATACCAAAAATGTTATTTATTATTTTCAAAAAAGTTTTATCATATTACATTTATGTGTAGGTTATCTTAGGTATTGTTGAATGTTTTACTTCTTAAGTAAGTAATAAATAAATATCATTTGTTATTTTAGAAGGTTGTTACTCAAAAACAGATGGTTGCTAGTCATATTGCTGGTATGATGGCATCCCAAGATTTACGTATTGTGGTTGGTGCAATGCAGATGGCTGAAATTTTAATGCAAAAACTACCCCAAGTTTTTGAAACTCATTTCATACGTGAGGGTGTTATGCATCAAGTTAAATTATTAGCTGAAGCTGATATTCAAACACCTGTGAAGTGTTCTCCATCTACATCAAGTGCAGGAGTTGAAGGATTGCCAGGACCATCTAGAAGTACTCCTAATGGTTATTTTCATATTTACTATCTGAATATTTAATACATTTTCTTATTATAATACTCTTAATATATTAAATGATAAACATTATTTAGATTATACTTTAAATCAATGTCCAATACCAGCTGAAAACGGAAATAATGAAGTTAAATCAACAACTAGTGGTATCGACGTCGAAGCAGAGCCTGTAGCAGAAGCAACTATCTTAGCCCAAGTAGCCCGTTGTTCTACCAAGTATGTAGATTGTATACTTTATGATGATAAGCTTTGATTAATTTTTGGATCTTTCAATCTTTTACGATACAAGTTTGTTTTATTCTCACCAATATGAGTTATAAACATATCTTTAGCCTCTAAACTTACAAAAAATGCAATGCTTTTTTTAAATATTAATTTGTTCATAAATTAATATTTTTATAGTCGAATGTCAGAAGTATTTAAACGAAATAAAAAACACAACAAACGACAGACTACTGGTGCTGCACGTAAAAAAGGAAATCAAGACAATGAATTGAATGATGTACAAACTATAGCCAGTAGTAGTGCTAGTACTAGTAATAATCTTTCACCAAATTCTGCTCAAGCTATTACTCTACATGAATTTTTTATATCAAAAGGTAAATCATTTAATATATTATTTTGCTCATCAAAAATCTCTTCCAATGTTCCTACTGTTACCTTTACTGTAGAATGTGATAGTAATAGTAATTATTTACGATGTACCAGTCTAATTTTAATTCATTTTATACATTTATATTCAATATACATTTTTGTTAGGTTTTTACCAAAGCATGAATTGTAAACTCAATATTCATTCTATTTATATCTAGTTACTGTGTTGTGTGCTGTTTACCCAGTAGGTAATTTTTTGTGTTTTTATGTGGTAATCTGGGTTGGTATATTATGTTTGATACTTGTCATGGTTTTAGATATATTAATCCATATTAATTTACAAACCCAGATAACCACATAAAACCATAAAAAACTACCTACTCATCACTGCAGTAGGCAAATAGACTTATTGTTTTGGGTTATTATATTCTGGTAATATTTAACAAGAATTTGATCAAAATACCAATTTTAGCTAAAGATAGTGGGGTTGATTGACATTTTTATATTCTCGCTATTAAATTGAGAATATGCTCAGACTGCGCCATATTTTGTTATATTTTTTCATTTAAGTATTAACACCCATCTTCTAGAACAATGAAAAAAGAATGCAACATGTTTAAATGTTACATTCTTGTACAGTTTTGTACAAAAAAGTCTGACAATCATTAATTTCAACTTACTTCTGATTAAAAACTGTGAAGCCATTATATAAATATTAAATGAAAAAAATTGAGTCAAATACTTTTTTGAAACTACACAAGGAGAATAACAACATTTTTAATTTTAGGCAACACTTCTTCTTCACGCGCTGTAGGTGTTAATGCATCATCATCAAGAACACGTTTTTCCAATTCAAATTTTAAAACAACTTCAGGGTTTTTAGCATCATTAAATCCAGCAAGACTTTTAAGAAGTACAGAAAGAGCATTTTCCAAAGTAATAACAATGATTCTATATTCTTACATATGTATTTTTATAAATATCTTATAATTAATAATAATATTTATTAAGGAATTAACCAAAAATCCCAATATGCACATCAATGGAGCAGCAACTTTAACAAATCCAGCATCGAATATAAGTGCTGTGAACAAAGAAAAAGCTAAACTGTGGGTTAAAGAAAGATCACAACATTTTATGATTTCGTATGATAAAAGTACAAAAGATGAAGAAATGACTACAGAAAATGAACAGTCAGAAAGTATTTTAGCACGTCTTACAAAAGCTATTAGTAAATTACAAAATGAGGTAAAATTCAGCTTATTGATTCATTATGTAAAATTATAATTACATTATTGTTTTGTTTATTAGGGAAATGAAGATATTAATGCTCTTTTGGAATTAAGAGAAATAGTGTTGACCTCAGACATATCACCATTTGAAGTAAATCATAGTGGATTAATTAAGTCACTTACTGTATATTTAACTGAAGTCACATTGGGTTTTGATCATAGAAGTGAAAGATTACGAAAGTTTTTACATGTTTTTGCTGGATATCCTGTAAGTGTGTCACATATTTAATAATAAGGCATTACTAATAAACGGGGCTGTGAATTTAATGCACCAAAGAACCTTACAAATTTGTCAAAAATATGCACTTAAAATGTAAGAAATGCAATATAAAATGCCAAAAATGATAGTATAAAATCCATTTAAAATGGTTTTTAATTTAATTTTTATTAATATTAGGTAGAGGATATTATACATTAGTACATTACATGCATAAATAATTGTTTATTTAATACAAATGTTGATTGAATTTGAATTTTCTATACTTAATGCTATTCACCTGAAACATTTTTTAAAAATTTTAGAAATAAATATCTTACAAATAACTTATGTAGTTATCTAGCAATTGCCTTATTTTATCGATGTATATACAGGCCGTATAACGTGTACAAAACTAAATTTTTTTTTCAAACATTTTTTACGTCAATTGACAGAATTTGATTAAAAATACTGGAAAATGAACTAAAAAAGGAAAATATGACTTAAATGACACAAAAATGTCAACAAATTCAAAATAAAAGTTGCACTAATGGATTCGTAGTTACATAATTCAAATTATGTACTTACAAAGCTACATTTCACAATCACCAAAATAAAATGCAATTTCCTACAAATTCACAACCCTACTAATAAATATTAACAACCAAAGTTTATAATTTCGTGTCCATAGTACCTAACTTATATTTTATATAAACATAGGTATACATTATGTTAAATCGATCCATAAGGATAATATTATAATCCATAATAATAATATTATCCTTATAGTTTTTTTAAATGACACATCATAATATTCATATTCATATTTCTATTTCATACTTTGATGACTGAGAAGTTAATTACGACGTTTGAGTATTTAAGTGGATGCTACGTAGGCATCTGTTGTTTCCATCTTACAAGAACAAATTTATCCTCAGTAGATTACTTATGTTGAAACTTGATGGCGAGAAAAGAAGTTGTGTTTGCATGTGGGTTTTTTACAATTGTTCAATTTTTAGGAAGTTTTGCATATTTAATATAGAATAAATTTAAAATGCTCATAACTCACTTAAAAACTGAATTATTGTAAAAATCCCACATAATATAAACACTGATAATGTTTTCACCATCAAGTTTTATAATGGGTCGATTTTCTTTTTAAACTAAAGAAGCTAAAATTGATCTCCCAGGTGTAAATATGCTATGTTACATATGCACTAGTTAGACCGAGACAACATTTGTCAGTGTAGCGTCCGCTTAAAACTCCATATGGGTGAAGTAGAATCGTGCAAAGGCATCCCACAAAATGTTAATGTAGTATTCCGCCATATAAACTTTAAATATTCATAACTACTCAGTCATTGAAGTACTCCAAAAAATATTCTATTTGGTAATATGAAATTAAAAATGTATAATATCATTCACTAAAGCAAAAAAAAATGATATGTTAGTTATTGTTCTATGTTGTTAATGTTGTTAAGTTATGACATCAAAAAGTTATGTATAATTATTATTTTCATATTTTCATATAAGTTTAAACTTTTTGTAATAATTAGTGTAAAGACACGTACCACCTGTGTATTTAAATAAATGAAATAAGACATAATGTTTACCATACAGAAGGCATATGAAAATGTGTGATAAATAATATAAATATAATGTAATCATATTATAACTTATTTTTAATTCAAAGCAGATTTTATACTCAAAAATAGTTAAATTTGTTATCTATTCATTGTTCATTTTTTAAATTTTAGCTTGATAGTTTTGAACCATTTACAAAGAGTCACGGCAATATAGAAACTCGACCGTTTTCTGCATTAATAGGAAAGTTGGGTAGTTGTGTGTCACAGTTGGAACAATTTCCAGTAAAAGTACATGACTTGTCAACTGGAGCTGGAAATAGCGCTTTGAAATTTTTTAATACACATCAACTTAAAGTAAATGACTAATTTTTATTTCTGTATTGCATAACTAATGTTCAATCAAATTATTATTTTAGTGTCTGTTACAAAGACATCCGGATTGCAATAATTTGAAACAATGGAAAAGTGGAACTGTTAAAATTGATCCATTAGCTTTAGTACAAGCAATTGAAAGATATTTAGTAGTTAGAGGTTTTTCTCATATTAGAGAAAATAATCAATCTAAATCTGATGACGACAATTCTGATGATGATATTGATGACACATTGGTAAATATTGTTTTATTACATTTGTACATATATGTTATACATATACTTTTGTACTTGTTTAGTTAAGTAAAAATGTTATCAAATCTTAATTTTTTTAGCATAACATTTAAGTTAAGTTAATAAACTATAAAAATAGTATTATAATTTTTCGATAAAACATGTATTGACAATTAATATTCAATTAAACAATTTTCTAGAAACTTTGTCCAATCAACATTTAAATTTGGTTTGATTTACTGTTACTTATTATATGAGGTATGGCTATTAAATAACGAGACTGCTTATGAAAAATGGCTTTATTTTAAAAATTATTTCACAACCGAATGTTCCCCTTCAATATATTCCCCTCCCCTCTCTACACTCTGTTCCATTTGTTTCTTACATTGCTTGAAGCAGTGGTGGAAGTCTGTTTTTGTAAGACCATTCAGGAGCTCCGCCAATTTTCATTTCACCTCTTCCATCGATTCAAACCGGGTTCCTTTTAAGGCAGACTTGATCTTCGGAAACAAGTTAAAGTCGCAGGGTGCCAAATTGGGTGGATTAAGCCTTGTATTTGAGTACTGGAGTGTCTCTAGTGGCCAAATAGCGCTTCGAGTTTTTGATCAGAAGTCAAATATTTTGGGACCAACTTTGCACAGACTTTCTTCATGACCTAGACGTTGTCGGTGCACTCTCGACCTTCAGAAAATCGTTTATGCCACTCGAAAACATGTGCACAAAATAGGGAATCCTCACCATTGGCCTCTTTTAACAACTTATAGCATTCAGTATGATTCTTTTTTAGTTAAGCGAGAAATTTTATGTTTATCCATTGCTCATGTTTTTTGTCACATCGTTTTCGGCAAGAGAAAAAAACATCCTTTTCTAACTCCTACATAAAACATACTAATGCACCGACAACAACCTGTTTTTGTACTGGCATAATAGACACTGCCAGCTAATCAGCACTGTATTCGGATTTTTCCCTAACCTCTGCGCATGCAGTCTCATTATTTAATAGCCAGACCTTGTATGCATACAATTTATTTTATAATCCAATTTGTTGTTTGTGTGTATCCCCAAATTATGTTGATTTCACAAAATTAGCATTGTATGGTTCCCCTATTATACAATTGATCTGTTAATCTGATTATTATTAATGGTTTTATCATTAATTCATTTATTCTGTGGATTAACTGGTTTAAAATTATTTACTATTTGAACCAAATCATTTTTATACCAACAAATACTGTAATCCATGTTTGTTATTACTTTTTTGGTTCAGATTATGTGTGAATACTTATTTTTATTTAAAAGTTATTTTATAAAGTATTTAAATACTCATATTAAATAAATCTTTTGTTAATTAGTATATTTAGTAAATACTGGAGTTTTTAAACAAATAATGTTGTATTTATAGGCGGCAGTTGTGATTGGACAAGGATCTGCAAGACATAAACTACAATTTCTCATAGGAAATCATGTACTTCCATATAATATGACTGTTTATCAAGCTGTTCGTCAATTTTCTACAACTAGTGATATGGAGACTGATAATGAATCTGAACTTCCGTTGGGATCAGCTGGAATATGGGTGCAAACACATACCATTTATTACAGGTAAGAAATAATAGTACCATGATCAATGATATCACTTGAAATAACACTGTTAAGTATATGGATGCTCCATGCGCCCTGTGAACCTTTAAATTAATTTTCCCAACTTGTTATGTATAATCGTGATGAGGTTTTTTAGAATGTTGGTCCGAATCCATTAAAAAATAATCCAATTTTACAATAGTATGTGGTTCATAATTGTATTGTGTGTATTGGAGCAGAACATTTATTCCAACATTGAAGTAGTTTCTGCTAGATTAGTTGATTTGGTCGGTACCTTGGTGTCGCATTCACTAGGTTGGTCCAGGTAGTAACTAATTGTGTCCTCAAATAAAAGCATTTTGCTTCTCATTTATACAGATTTCAAACTAGCTATAATCTTTAAATTAAATCACTGGTATAGTTTAAAAATATTAAATTTGTAATATATAAACTTATTAGGTTGTCATTATTAAGTTAAGTTTTGCCACAATTGAATATTAAATAACTAAATGTAAAAAATATTTTTCTACATGTACAATTATTTAAAAAATATTTTAACTTTGTTTTTGTCATTATTTTATATATTTATTGTAAAGTTATATAGGTACTTATAATAATTAATTAATGTATATATATGTATTTTAAAGACCTTTGCCAGAAGATACTGAAGTACATTCACCTAAACCTACTACTAGCAGTTCCGGTAAAAAAGGAAGATCAGGAACTCACAAAAGTGCCTCAAAAAAAGTGAAAGATGAACTATGGTTAGGTAAATTACCTATTTTTCTTATATTATTTTAAGCTAAGCTAGTATATGGTATACATAAATATTTTGAATAATTTTTATAATAACAAACCCCAAAGAAGAATTGATGTTAATCACCATTGTTTTGGTTATTATAGAAGGAGTAGTGTCTCCCGTCAAATCGTCACTTGAACCATATCTCCAATTATCATTGCCTGAGTATGTTCAAATTCAAGATCCTTCATTGCCGGTACTCAGTCTATTAAGAGTTTTAAACGCCATTAATAGGTACTGGACTTCATTATATCCAACACAACTTCATAACAATTCTATTATACCATTTAGTGTAAGTAATCACTTAGATATGAAAAAAATATGTATAATGTTTGATATTATCCATTTGCTTTAGGAATTTATTAATGTTAAAATATCTGCAAAAGCAAACAGGCAACTTCAAGACCCCTTAGTTATAATGACTGGTAACTTACCCGCTTGGCTTCAGCAAGTTGCTTCGGCATGGTAAGTTTAAAAGAGTTTTTAACATATGTTGTTTATATTTTACATGTATTTTTAATTTTTATAGTGCATTTTTATTGCCATTTGAAACGCGACAATTATTATTTTATGCGACTGTATTTGATCGGGATCGTGCATTACAACGTTTACTTGACTCCAGTTCTGAGCTTCAAGGTGCTGGAAATAATACTAATGGTGACATGCATGATCGTGTTGCACCACGTCTAGATAGACGTAAACGTTCAGTAACTAGATCTAATATACTTTCTCAAGCGGAAGCTGTGATATCTGAAAATGCTACTTCGCGAGCCTTACTAGAAATACAATATGAAGATGAAGTAATTATAAATTTAACCGTCCAAATTTATTTAATATTAATATTAAATTAAATTTTTTCAGGTGGGGACAGGCTTAGGACCAACTTTAGAATTTTATGCGTTAGTCTCAAAAGAATTACAAAAAGCTGATTTAGAATTATGGAACAATCCTTCAAAATCTGAATCTGACTCTTATGTTTATTCGTCAGAAGGACTTTATCCTAATCCATTAGCTCGAACTAGTAAACTTCCACATCAAGTTAAAATGAAATCAAAATTTAAATTTTTAGGAAAGTTTATGGCGAAAGCTATTATGGATTCAAGACTAGTAAGTTATAAAATAGTAAATTAAACTACTGCATTCATTATTTAATATATATTTTTTTTAAAGCTGGATTTGCCATTAAGTATTACCATGTACCGTTGGCTATTAGGCCATGAAAATTATCTTACTCTTGGTGATCTTTCATACATAGTTCCTGAAATATACAAAACTTTATCACAACTTCATCAATTAGTTCTTGAAAAAAGACTAATCCTTATTGATAATTCCCTAAATGATGAACAAAAAACTGAAAAGGTATTTTACGCTACACATCAATAAATAATTGAAATATTATGATTCTTTGATTTAATTCATTGGACTTTTTTTTTGATTTTTAGATAAAAAAAATTACCTTAGATGGCTGTCCGATAGAAGATTTGGGACTTAATTTTACATTGCCTGGACATGCCTCTATTGAATTACGTAAGAATGGTCTAAATATAGATGTCACAATTGATAATTTGGAAAAATATATTCAGGTAATTTAAAAAAAAAAAAAAATTTTTCTCTTTATAACAATTTGGGATTTAATTTTCAGTTGGTTTGTCATTGGTTTTTACGGGAAGGCGTTTCCAAGCAGATGGAAAGCCTTCGAGAAGGATTTGAAAGTGTATTCTCTCTTAAACGCCTTGGACAATTATTCTATCCTGAAGAGTTGGAAGCAATATTTTGTGGGAATACAAACACAACTAAAAATTGGGATGTGCGTATGTTATCGGAGTCATGTCGCTTGGATCATGGATATACAGGAAATTCTAGAGCTATCGGGTTTCTTTTCAAAATTTTATCAGAGTATGATCATCAACAACAAAGAGACTTTTTGAGATTTGTTACTGGAGCGCCACGTCTTCCTGTTGGAGGTAAACATTCATTAATTTATGTGCACAATAGTTGTAAGAGAAAATTTGGGTAAAAATAACTTATAGTATACAGTATACACTGTTGTACAAATTGAGTTCCTTGGTTAATAACCAGACGCAGTTAGGTGGGGGGCTTAGCCCCCCCCCAAAAAAAAACTTAGGGCCATCTAAATTTAAAAATATTAAATATCGATAAAATCAATTGTTTTTGTTTATACCACTCTGTCCATTACATTTCTTATAAGTTATAATACTATACAATAGTTTAATGTTTTCATCTGTTGATATTATGTCGTTAAGAAAAATTATGCTTATTTTATTGAAATACGTCTATACATCATTTATTCATTATTTTATTGTGTTATTATTATTATGTTGTAAATTCACAAGATATACTCTAAGATATACCCCACCCAAAAAAAAAAAATAATTGTATGGTTGTTATTTATTTACATTAAATATATTTATTATGATAATCAAAAATAATTGTATTTTAGGTTTCAAATCACTTTCTCCTGCGTTGACCATTGTGCGGCGAATATTTGATGATAACGATAATCCAGACGATTATTTACCATCTGTAATGACATGTGTGAACTACCTTAAACTACCAGATTACTCCACCATAGATTTAATGAGAAAAAAACTGCAACTGGCTGCCTCTGAAGGACAACATTCTTTCCACCTTTCATAATTACTGCAGAGTAAAATTCTTAATGTAGTATCAATACTTAAAAAAAATATATTAAACCATTTGATATATTCCAATTTTAATAATTACATTGTATCGTTAATGGCAGAATAATAATCTGGTTAAAACTTACATTATTAATAAAAAAAAAGGCAATATTTATATATATTTCTCTTTATAATATACATATATATATTATTTAGTAATTTTCTTTTTATAATTTTTGTGTAAATAATATACATGTACATAATACAAAACAAGTTTGTTTATAGGGTTATTTTTTATTTTTAAACTATTGAAATTGCTTTTATTTTAAATATTAATTTAATACTTTTAAGATCTCTAAAATGTTTCTTTGTTCTTGGGTGTGTGATATATAATATAATATATATATATTATATAATAAATATATATATATATTTTTTTTTTTTGGCACGTGTAACATTTGAAATACATTCCATTTTAGTATCTTTATAATTTAGAATATTTGTACAAGAATTCCAAAAGTTTTGTCTTTTTTATCAATATTATTATTATTTCATTTTACAGTGAAAAATAGAACAAAACATTGTTTACAAACATATTTATTATCCATTTCCAAATAAATATTAAAATATTTTACATTACTCACAATATTTTCTTATTAAGTGATAATTTATAGTTACATTATCATTGACACAATAAAGTATTAGTAAAAAAAATTATAGAATCTTCCACGAATAAATATTAACATGTTTATGTTGACTAAAATTAATTTTGTGTTAATAAATATGAAGTAACTGCAAACAAAATATAACCAAATATTTCTGGAAAAATAAAAATTTGTATATATTACATATACCAAAACTTATGGCAATAAAGAATTACCATGTGCAAAGTTTATTATTTTTCTTCATTTATTGGATGAAAGTTCATTGATGCACTATTAATACAAAATCTTCGTCCTGTTGGTGGTGGGCCGTCTTTAAAAACATGTCCTAGATGTGCATCACATTTTCCACACTGCACTTCAGTTCTTATCATACCTGGGTTGGTTATCAATAACAGCAAATTTGCTCCAACTGTATCCATCACCGTCATAAAGCGACAGCATTGTTTTGTATATTCGAGGAATGAAGGAAACGCCACCAACACCACATAAATTGTTTTATATGTATATAAATACTATGGGAAATTCTATTTTTGGGTATTCATAATAAATCTTGGTAATTTCTCATTATCTTATATACAAATTTATAAAAAAAAAAAAAAAACAGTGCAATAAGAATATTATAGAATTCTTTAGTATTGTTATAAGTTATAATGTCCATTAGTTATTACAATTATTTGGTGAAGGAGATTTATTATAACAACGGAAAAATGTAATATATGACAACATTATTTGATTAGTTTCACTTTATAGTGATATTAATTGAATGATAATTGTGTTAGTTAATGATTTCCCAAAACAAGAGAATACTACAGATTTTTAAACATGGGTAATTTAAGAAAGATAAGTTTTTAAAAGATCTGCTAGAATTTATTTATTAAAGGAATATTTTACATTTTAATATCACAGCAGAAATATGCACGCTATCCTTGATTAAATAGTTAATGGTGTTCAAAGAAAATATAAAATTGTTATTTAATAATTGACCATTGTTTAAAATATTTGGCTACTCCACGATCAAAACTAAAGAATTAAATGATGATAACCTTATCAAAATTAAAATATTCACATTAAAAAAATGAGATTGCACAAGCATAAAAAAATTAACATTTTACATATTTTATAGGTGAATAATTAATTTATCAATCAATGATACACTCAACTAAGGGATGCAACTAAGTATTGAACTTCAAATAATTATTTTAAAAAAGTCACTCAATGCGTCATAAACTCATAACCAACATCACACTAAAATACAGATTATTCCACTAGTCTACTACCTGCACAGTTTCACAATAATACCCAACATTTTAAAACAAAAGGAACACCTATAAATATAGTTTTTGAAATTGTTATTGTATTACATACAAAAATCCAAATAATTTTACATAGAGCAATACTAGAAGCTTTAGAAAGTTGCTCTTAATCAAATCAATGAGTATATGAGAATAGCAGAGTAATATTGTATTACAAATATTCATAGGCGGTACTAGACCCTCTTGGCAGGGGGGGGGGCAGAAAATAGTTAAAACTATATTTTATATATTTTACTTTATTAGTCCAAAAATAAGATTCTTATCTATCTCAGTGCCAGCATATTACACTACTATACTAGGTAATCACTATAAAAATTCCTTTTTTTGAGAGTTAGGAAATCGATAATTCAAGGAATTATATATTAGATGCAATAATAAGGTACGGTCCACAGGGGGGGCAGTTGCATACCTTGCCCCTCCCGTAGTACCGCCTATGCAAATATTCAACTGACAAGCAATCATTAATGAAATGTAAGTGTTGTTAACTATGCAGCGTTTCCAATCCCTCGACAGATACAAAAAAAAAGAAAAAGAGAACAGTCTACCAAAACCATGGCTACTACCAAAACTCTTTGAACATACCATTTGAAGTGTCAGTAGTTAGTTTAACTTTTTTCTGATCGATCACATCATTGAAAGCCGGCCAACCGCAGCCAGAATCAAATTTTGTTTCCGAAGTGAATAATGTTTCGTTGCATACTACGCAAGTATACAAACCAGCCTCTGTTGTCTTGTTAAACTTACCGGTAAAGGCTCTGTGAAATTAATCATCGATTTTTATGAATTTCTTTATGTGTTAATACAAATGGATACCTCTCTGTTCCTTTTTCTTGAGTGACATGGTATTGAATGGGTGATAAACGTTTTTTCAAGTCTGCTTTGAAGTCGGCCGATTCTCCTTGACTCATGGTCCTTATTCTAATATAATCAACCTTGTATCTTAACGGTAAAATTTCACTGGTTAAACGCAATACTCTACTCCTACAATACATTCATGTACACAATATCGACTATGTGGGTTGAAGAATCTTTTTCATAAACTATTCAACGGTTTATAAATAAAATACGTATTAATATAATGTTATGTAAATGTGTAATATTATATGTGTATGTAGTAGTCGTATTTGGTCAGAGCTAAAACACCAATGGTAACTAAAAAGCAACTAATCAAACGCAAACAGATGGACTAGTGGACAACAGAATACAGAGTACTGAGTACTGACCACAGACAAGTATCCTGCAACAGCAGTAAGTTGTCAAGCTTGTTGTTCAGCCTTATCAGCTCATTCACTCATATCAACTGAACACGAATTAAACCACGGTTACAACCACAATTATATATAACATAATATCCTAACCTCTCATTGGAATTTTTTTTCCACCACAAAATCTGAGTTAATTAATTAAAATTATTTTTAGAACATCATCTTAAATGTAAAAATAAACTATCGATATAGTTGTATTTTTTACGAAATTCTCATACGGATCAAGGGGTTACATCGTTTTTGCGGGTAACTATTAAGATTTTTACCCTCGTTCGTTTCTCACACTCGAGAATCGCCATCCAAAAAAAAAAAAATGTGACATAATTCAGACATATCGATTTGTACGAAAACACAAGATAAACAGAAACAGTGGTTATAATTACTTGTTGACATTAATTACATAGTGTTGAATATTATTAACTAATACAAATAATGAAATAATAACAAACTTACGGTGAACAGTGCTTTTAATGATCGAGTAATGGGGCGGCCCCCTTTTCGGCCAAAATGTACCCTTCCGGCCAAAACTTACCGTTCCCTTCTCCGCCAGTGTCACTTTTCGGCCAGTTTTCTTTAAAATGTACAATTATAACAAATGACTTAACAATTTTCTTATTTCCACCTCAATATTGGGCTGCTGCGTCGGGAAGTTTGGCTAGAACAACTAATGCTCGCGAGTCGTTCCACTCCTTTTTCAATCAAAGCTTTTATAAACATACTCCATCCATAATGAGCTGGTTAGCTGTCCTCATTAATGAAGTTCAAACAGATATAAACATATAAATTAGAAGTATCAACATTTTAAAAACACCTCGTGATGCAAAAAATGTGGAACGGCAACGAAGAAATGAATCTTACATTGAAGACTATAAAAATAGTAAAATATCATACAATTATAAAAAGTGAATTTTGTCATCATAATTATTATTACATAGGTATTATAAGACTATATTAATTTTTATACATTTTCGTTCAATGTTCATACTTCATACAATTATTAAAATATTGTTTTAAATTAAATTTATTGATATGATAACAATAATAATAAAATGTTTTAACAGTTTATTGCCAATTGTTTTATTTTTTATTTAATTAAATATAAAAATTGTTAAGTTCAGTTGTTATAATTATATACATTTTAAAGAAAACTGGCCAAAAGGGACAGTGGCCGAAAAGGGAAGGTTACATTTTGGCCGAAAACGGTGACGCCCGAGTAATGGGACCTTGAAAGACCCTGAACAAGACAACATTCCCGATCAACATTCGGCGTTAAATTACTCCGAAATTGTAAATTGTAATATCAGGCCGTTACCACGAAAATCAGATACTCCGAAACATAGATATTGAAGATATCTTTATTATCTATGCTCCAAACGTACATTTACGGCTGTCGGCTATATTGCAAGTATGATCTTCTTAAGTCCTAATGTATATTTCATAAATCAATATTATATAGACTTGCCTGATGACAGATATGCTATCTAATATTTTGTTTAAGGGAAGCTGGCAAGGTAACAATGTGTGACCGTAAAAAAAATATGTTGAAAAAATAAAAATAAATAAAAAAAATAAAAAAATTGAAAACAAAAAAAAATATTGAAAAAAATATTTTTGATCTGCAATTGTAGAATAGAAGTGAAGTTAAACATTTTCAATCGATGATCATAGGCGTAACACTAGGGGGGAGGGCTAGAGGGGGCTTAGCACCTCATCGAGGTACTAGGCAATGTATCTATCTATGTGTATTTAGCCCCCTATAGTATCTATATTATCTTCTTCTTTATATAATATAATTCAATTCTTGAAAGTATTCGTATTCTTATTAAATCGTGTAATTTTTGAACCATTTGATCGATCGAAGTAAAAGTTATAGGTAAGTACCGTTGGATTCATATTGAGTCCTTGGAGTAAATATGTTTATAGCGTATTTTTTATCTCATTAATTAAATAATTGATTTTAATAAAAAGTGGGGTAAACCTTCCTAAGCCCCCTCCCCTATGAAACCGAAAACCGAACCCTAAGCGGACCCCTCCAATAATTTACGCCATAATGTTTGAACTTTGAAGCAATAATGTTTAAATATAATCGTATCTACTCCGTAGTTACTGACTATCGTCTATCGTAACAGTTTAAAAAAATATATTATTAAGATTTCGTAGTAGTTGTAATTGATCCAATCGTAATCGAAGCTAATGATATTCGTGTTAATATACGTGGTGCATTATCGTATTCGTACTAATCACTTGTCATGGTAATGGTGATATAATATCCCTGTGGCGCAAGTGTACGAATAGAAAACATTTTCAAGGATAGACCTAAAATAAACTTTAAACAGATATTTTTTGTACAATTTCATGTGCGGTAGACTGCATACTACAAGAATACCCATTTTCTAAACAATATTATTAAAGTGTTAAAATTTATAATAGAAAAGCGGGCAATTGGATGTCACTCTGCTGTACAGTAGATTACAAGTACGTCGCTGCAGTTATGGATGGTGTTAAACTTGAATTCAATGATATAAAATCATTATACATGAAAAGCGTTCTCAGCGAAGATGGGTTGTTAGCATATAATATTATTTAACATATTTGATGATATTATATTGTGATTAGAGTAATTTATTTTACTATTAGTCATTAGTACTACAGTTAGTTAAATTCATTTTTTTTCCAAAAAAATTACATTTGAAAAGTCATTGTGTGTATAAAATAAAATAATATACTCTAAAAGTTTCAACAAATTATATTTTGAGAAATTGAATGAAAAGAAAATGTTGAAAAAAGTTTGAACTGCAAACGCTCATAAAAATTGAATTTGTCTTTCCGGCAGACATTTTTTTTTTGATAAAGGTAGACAACCTTATGAGCAAGGCTGGGATTTATATGTAATAAAAAACCAAAAATATGTACATATATATGTAAATATGTAATTAAAATTGCCAAAATATGTAGTATAAAATAAATTATTGTGGTTTGACGCCCAACTCTTTTTTTTAAATGTCCACTAACAACCACTTACGAAGAATCTTGTAACGTGTGTGAAGTTAGCCCCCCCATATTGAAAAAATTTAACCGGACCGATTGTAA